GTGCAAACACTTACACAAATATAAAGATTTGGTATCAAGCTTAAAAAATAACATTTGTGTTCATATGATAGAAGTAACATGAACACAATGGTTCATGATTYATAAAAGTCGGTAATATGACAATATGAAAATGGGCCATGCATGTACTTCCATTTGAACATGTGAATTAGGTACGGATTTTAATAATTAAAGAAAATAGATATCAATACAAGATGAGTTATAAAAAACACAACACATCGTAATGAACATAATTTCGATTAAAACGAATCTAAAAAAATAAAAATMTAWTACYAAGAYATTYGHTTTGRTTAATTTCTTCAATTCCCGACCTCGAACTCCGATTGTCATCATAAACCATTTTAATCTTCTCACTGTTGTCGATTTATTTTCCATTGCGTTTATCTATATTAGCTTGATCGATACCGAAAATTTTTACTACCGTGTTTTCTATACGAATTAAAAACTGATAAAACAATAAACATGGAAGATCAAGATTAAAAAAAATTATTAATATTATAAATGTATATTTTTTGGGATTTGATAATTTGTAACTCCCCATTAATTGTTTGGGAGTTACATATCAAATAAATTTACTGAAATACCCTTGTAATTAAAATGTGAGTATGACATAAACCTACAAGAAAAATGGAATTTGATTGGTTGTCATGGTTTTCAAAGTTAACACAAAGTTATTGGTTAACATTTGACCTTCCCTATATATATATAAGATAAAATAATTTTTAATAGATTTATTATTAATGGATTTGTAAGTGTGTCCAAGGCTATGCCTATACTAATCCCAACAAATTATCGCTATAATACATCACTTCTGATAAAATCCAAAATCACGATTATTGTGGAAGTTTAAAGTCAAACCCAGGGTTGATGGGATATTCCAACTCATCCACTTGGGTCTCAACCATTACACCACCATTGTGATAATCTATACCATAAAGTATTTGACAAAAACTCTTAAAAATAATATTTTATGCATAAAACACTGTTTATTGATGCATATTATTTAAAGTTTAAAACTACAAGTAAATTGTGCGGAAGTACAACTGATTAAAGTTTCATGTTTGAATTCGTGTAATTAACTGCAAATAAACATCTCATTTTAGATATAAAAATCTAAAATATATTTCTAATAATCATTGAATTATAACAAAATACTTAATTATTATATTTATAAAAAGATCTATTATTAAACCAAAAATTAAAAAAAAATGAATCAAAGAAATACACACCACAAAAAGAAATTTTAAAAATTGGTACTAATATCAATATTTTTTTAATTTATTATAATATCTTCATATTTATATTTTATTCAAAAATAAAAACATTATCACTTTCTCAAAACCAAATAAAACCGTATTATAATATCGACTGAGATAAAAAAAAACACAAAACATTAAAATCGAGACGTATCTCACTACATTGTACAAGTACCTTTCTAGTTATTATTAATATTATTGGAATTTTTTTTCACAAGATCCCTATAAGAAAAAGATGTCGAGATTTTGGAATTCATAACCTATTTTTTCTGTTATAACGATTTCTCCAAAAATAGAGAAAGCAAAAGAAAACATAGAAATTAACATATTTGGAGAATCCGTTTTAAATTAAATGCCGTTAGAAAGGTAAATAATTTTTTTAATCATCCCCGATGACGAAATGTCGGAAATTTGTCGAAAAATTTAATGTATTTAATATTTTAATAATATAATTAATGTTTAAATCTCTAAAATAAAAAAACCGTTCGTAATTTGATTTAAAACTTTTGGAGAATTTAATTTTTTTCCATTTTTAAAAAATTATACAGAAATTAAGAAAAATATTTTTATATTTTATGATAATTAACAATAAATAAATAAATAAATAAAAGGCATTAAATTTATTATGAAAAAAAATTGGTATTTATTAAAATTAAAATAGGAAAGAAAAATATAAGTTGGGGGAACGTGGGGGCAGCGAGAGGGGACAAAGGAGAGAGAAAGGTGGGGCCCACCCACCGCCCCCAATGCGCACGCTGTCTTAACAAAACTCTCTTCATCTCTCTCTCTCTCTCAAACCTAACCCTAAAAACCATAAACATTCAAACACAAATCCCCCTTTCTCTCTCTTGCTTTCACCAAAATTTCCATATATTTTGAGTCGATTCAAGATATATAAGGCATAAGCATGGCCAATTCTGCTTCGAATTTTGCTGGGTTCCTCATAGCATCCATCCAGCTCTTTTCCGGTGAGAAATAGCRCCGGAGATCCACCGAGAAACCAGCAAGAAAACCCAAAGTTTAAGAGGGAATTAGAGGTTGTTTATAAAGGGGTCGAATTCGAGAAGAAGATGAATCCAGTGACAGCTCATGGTCGTCCTCTACCTCCTCCTTTTCATGCCAGAGATCTTCAGCTGCACCACCACCATCAGTTTCAACAGCAACAGCAGCAGCAGCACCACCACCGGCAGCCACCGGAGGAGGAAGAGCAAAGCGGTGGAAGTAGCAGCCGCAACCACGGTCTTAAACGAGAGCGTGACGGCAACCATAGCAATAATAATAATGATGGTAATAGAGAATTGGCGTCGGTGGTAACCGGTGGCGAAGGAGATCATAGCAGTGGCGGTGGTAGTGGCGGCTCAAGGCGGCCACGAGGCCGACCTGCTGGATCAAAGAACAAGCCGAAGCCTCCGATTATAATCACCCGAGATAGTCCTAACGCTCTTCGGTCTCATGTGATGGAGGTGGCGAATGGGTGTGATATCCAAGAAAGCATAGCGAATTTCGCGACGAGAAGGCAAAGAGGGATTTGCATTTTGAGTGGTAACGGGACGGTTACTAATGTAACCCTGAAGCAGCCTGCAGCACCAGGGGAGGTTGTGACCCTACATGGGCGATTTGAGATCTTATCGCTCTCAGGATCATTCCTTCCTCCCCCAGCTCCACCGGCTGCTTCAGGGCTTACAATCTACTTGGCCGGTGGTCAAGGGCAAGTAGTTGGAGGAGGGGTCGTGGGCCCGTTACTCGCATCAGGGCCCGTGGTAATCATGGCGGCATCTTTCGGAAATGCTGCCTATGAGAGACTTCCTCTTGAAGAAGAAGAGACTACGCCAGTTTCAGGAAACGAACCTTTAGGTTCGCCTTCTGGAATCAACGGCCAACAACAACTCATGAATGAGGCGAATCCATCGTTATTTCATGGATTGCCTCCTAATCTGCTAAATTCATGTCAGTTACCAACAGACGCTTATTGGGGGGCGAATCGACCCCCTTTTTGAGAAGAATCGGATGAGGAGGAATCGAACTCAATCTATGATCTCTTTGTTTCATTCTTCTTCTTCTTCTTCTTCATCATCATCCTTGCTTTCACTTAAACTTAATTATGCAATCTTCTTTGGCTTTTCTTAAATTTTTTGATTTTCACATAAATTAGTATGTTTGTGATGTTAATTAATTGAAATGATTAGACCTCCATAGCATGTTTGTTCAAGAATTAAGCCATGTATAATCAAAACTTGTGAAATCCATATTCATTTTGTGGACTTCAATCCTCTTTTGCATCTCTTTTAATATTTATCTTTGCGAATCTGTTATCGTTCACGTTCTCTGTAACGTTGTCTATTTTCACATAAACAACCACTCTATGCTTTACCCTCTTTGGAGCCCCCATTCGGATTGGATTCATTGGGCTCGTTTCGTTTCGTTTGGTTGTTTTCTGTAACGTATTAGTACACAACAAATGCGGCCGAGTAGCACATTCGAACCCGAGACTTTAGGATGTTTTGAAGAATATTGAGACCAATTAATAATCAATTAACCAAGATGAAGAGGCCATTAATCATTTTTTCTAGTAAATAATCTAACTTTTTGAGTTGTGTAATCAATAGAGTACAGCACTCTTGAATGAAAGCTTAATGAGACAGCCTAGTTTTAGATGCTTTCTGATTTGTATATTCTAAGGTTTCCTTTTTAAGTTGTATATGAACCATGGAACCCCCATTAAAACCCCTTATAAAAAGCTCTAAATTTAAAATGAAACCCCACAAGTAATTATAACTACACATAAACACATTTTTTGATTATGTTTTAGTTTTTCTAATTTATATATTCATTTACTAATTATATATATATATATGTGTATATATATATATGTATATGTATAAGTTGAGTTGTTGTGAACCTAATTTTCGTTGTGAATAAGAGGGCAAATGAGAACACGACACGTATTCCCACTTTGTTCTCATTTAAAATGAATAATGAACGCGAATTTCTTGCAACATTCATGATGAATGTTTAGATCATCAATGACGAATGATACAATATTCATAATGAATATGATCCCATGAATATTGTCTGGGACACGTGAAAGCTCTCGGTTGTCTCCCAATTTACAACGAAAGTTAGGTTCGCAACAAGAGGACATATGAGAACACGACACGTATCCCCACTTTGTTCCCGTTTAAAGTGAATAATGAACGCGAATTTTTAACAACATTCATTTTAGATCACTAATGACAAATGATATACTATTCATAATGAATATCATCCCATGAATATTGTCTCCCAACTTACAACGAAAGTTAGGTTCGCAACTATATATATATATATACATATAGGTATATGTAGATGTATTTGTAAATACATAAGAAAAAGATAAGAAATTAATCTGAAGTAAATTGGTATAATAGATGGTGGGAAAGAGTAAAGAGTCTTGAAGGGGTTGTGCAGAATATATATATATATGTATATATGGGGTAAAGTTGATATATTTAGTATATGGGTGTTGAAGAAAACACAGAGGTATGGAGTTAACTGGTTGTTTAAGTGTTTGGATCTGTGTGTGGGTGGGTGTTCTTTGACTGTCTTTATTTAGGGTTTGAAGAGAGAGATGGATGATGGGATGATTATTGGATTACACGTGCAAATGCAATACCTCTTAATTTGGCTCTTTTCCAAGGCAAGCAACAGCAAATGCATCCCACCCCATTTTCAGCTTCGTCGCTACACTTCTTTCTCTCTCTCTCTCACTCTCTCTACATATATATATATATATATATATATATATATATATATATATATATTCTGAGTCTCTTTGTGTGAGTTTTCTTGCAGAAGACAGTAATTGGGTTGTCTTGGGTGATCAGCATTTGGAGATGCTTTGTTGAACCCTAGATATGCTTCTTTCTTTTGATATGCTTCATGTAACTACTTTTTCAAATTATTTAAATATCATATGAATTTAAGGTGTTTTTTCAAAGAGATTCAATTTAATCAAGTGTTTTGTTGGGTGATTAATTAATTTAAACCTAATTCTTGATATAATCCCATTTATAGTTTCTTTGAATTCCATGATTTATATATATATGGTGGGTCGGGTTCGAACGAGAATGATTACCAAATAGTATGTGATTCACATGATTAAACAAGAACGGGTAAATCACATGTGATGGTTTTAGTGTAAAATCACATGTGATGGTTTTAGTGTAAAATCATATGTGAGTGGACTGACTGTGGCCGCAATATTCTTTGGTAGAGGGACTATAAAGTGGCCGCTTTTCGCTCGCCTCTCTTTCGGTTGTCTATGAGGTCCTTGTGGTTTGTGTTCCATAATCGCATTTCAATGCAAAATCACATGTGATTTGGGTATTTTTGTGTTTTCTTATTTTAATCATGTTATCGGTTTAACCTTCCTTAATATATATATATATATATATATATATATATAGAGAGAGAGAGAGAGAGAGAGAGAGAGAGAGGGGGGTGGTTCAAGTATTAACCAAGTTTATTGTATTAAATTTGTTAACCAATCTTGGTCATTGATCCTTTAAATTTGTGGCAAAGACCATTCATGATATAAAGTGTAATTAATTGCACACATAGACAAGTTCATATATGTGCATTTGTGTTCATATGGTCACACATGTTCATCATCTTTCGTTTGTTCGTTTGTGTCAATATGTGTTCATATTTATACCAACTGTATATATATGTCAATATGTGTTCGTAATTGACTGAAGAGTTCATATATGTCAATTTGTGTTCGTAATTGACACAATGGTTCATATATGTCGAGTTGTGTTCATATGGTTGTACGAATGTTCATATATGTGAATTTGTGTTCATATGGTCACACATATTCATTATCTTTTGTATGTTCATTTGGGTCAATATGTATTCATATTTATACCAACTGTACATATAGGTAAATCTGTTTTCGTAATTGATACAAGTGTTCATATATGTCAATTTGTGTTCGTAATTGACACAATGGTTCATATATGTCGAGTTGTGTTTATATGGTTGTACAAATGTTCATATATGTGAATTTGTGTTCATATGGTCACATATGTTCATCATCTTTCGTATATGTCAATTTGAACGATATTAAAAACTTTACTATTGGGTCTCCTCCACCAATCACAAATTCGTAAACATTAGAGATAGAAAATCAATATTAAAAAAAAATAACAAGATTAATAATAAGTTAACACAAATCATGGGATTTTGTGATTTTGTGATTTTGTAACTCCCAATTAATGATATAGGAGTTACATAAAAAAGAAAATTACATGTGTATCCTTGTCATTAAATTTAATACAGATAGGAACCTAATGCTAAGATGGATTGTGATTTGTTGAAAATGGTTTAGGTTATTTGAACCAATCTCTCTCTCTCTCCCTCTCTCTCTCTCTCTCTCTCTCTCTCTCTCTCTCTATATATATATATATATATATATATAGGGAGGGATCAAATGCAAATCAAATCATTATACAAACCATCAAAACCTCATTCTACCAATCATAATTTTTCTTTTCTTTTTTCACTTTTTTTAATTATGAGGGTTGATTGTGGACATTATAATCTTATTATATTAATCTTAGAAAACGAATTTGATCAAATGAGAAATACATGAAAATTTTCATTTTTATGTAGAAACACAAATATATGAAACAATTTTTAATCAAGAAAAGAATTATATGAAACAATTTCATTAAATTAAACAATGAAATCGATGGTTCGTGCGGTTTCTACATATGTCGTGGTTTGTATTTGATCTCTCCCCTATATGTATACATATATATATATATATATATATATATATATATATATAGCCTTAATCATTTGAGAAGTATAAAACTTATAAGATCCATAACAACTTTTACTTTTTCACATGATTTTTTTCATCTAAGTATAGTATTTAATATATTGATTTTGTTTTACAATGTGTTTGTTTCATATGTATTTGGTTCATAATGTGAAACTTTTTCACCTGTATTTTTTTTTTGGTTCACAAATACACTAAAATGTTCAAATTCTGAACCGAGTATATGTAAAACAAACACATTATAAAAATAATATATATTAATCAAAAGGTTTTCACGATTTGTACAAATGGTTTAGTTTTCAAAATATTCCTCCCCTATATGCGTGTGTGTGTGTGTGTATTCAAGTGAGGACTCAGTATTTTGTAAGGTCCATAAGATCCAATCTCAACCACAAGTCAAAGGATAAATTAGAAAACTAATAACTTTGATAATTTTGACTTAAAATTTTAATTAAAGGGCATTTTAGGTATTTTAGAAATCTTATCTCTATTCTCTTCTCCCCTCCGACAGAAACATTCCATTGTGATACCCACATTGTGATACATTAACTAAAATTGTTCTCTCTCCATATACCCACAAATACCTACTAATATCCATTGTATACACGATGTGACACCGACTGTCATTGTGATAAATTTGTGAAGTAGGGATAACACACTGTAATCACTAGATCAATATACGGGTTTCAAAATAAAGGTTTTCAAGATATCGATAACACACTGTGATCACTGTAACTCTACTGTAAACCCGTCGTAAACCTTCTCGATCAACTTACGGATTTCAAGATATGTGCAAACATATCGTGATAACACACTTGATCAATCGTGAAAACTTTACCGTAAACCCATGGTCAGAAAATGATTTTACTGTTGTCATCGATTGAAATTGTACTGAACAGATGGATATGGATAGAAACTTAAGGAGACAAGGGATAGGATGTGGTATTAGAGGGAAAAAAGATGACGAAGGAGATGGAGAGAGGTTGGTTATTTCACGTTGGGTTGGGTTGGTCGGGTTGCTTCGGGTTGGGTTATTTCACGTTGGGTTGGGTTGATTGGGTTGGTCGGATTTTTGAGCACCCCTAGTTGTATAACTAAATTGTCATTTTTAGCTTATTCAAGAAATATGAAGAGAAAATAAAGGGAGGGTCTTAGGGATTTATTATTATGTAAATAAGAAAATTCTGAGAAGCAAATTGTATGACTAAATTGTCATTTTTAGCTTATTCAAGAAATATCCTTAATTATCTCAAATGATTGGTTCATATTAAATCTCACTGTAATCACAAATTATAGCAATTAACCAGACACGGGATTCTAGCCATCAAATGAGCAACCTTGTTTGCTTGGTTTCGAACATACTTAACAGAGATATCGCCACGGTCTTGGAGTTTCATACGACAACTTTCAATAAAGTTCCCAACTTCTAGACGATTGTGGTTA